GGCCATAGATTATAACGGTTTCTAGATTTATTTATCTGTATAAAAACAATTACAAGAGAACTTTGTGAAGATTACAGTCTTAATTAGATGGTGTTTGGGTAATACTAATGCACTTGGTTACAATTTTATTTACAAATACTAGGTTACTGAAAGGACAAAAAGTAACTTTATGATTTGACAAGCGTGGACTTGATTATTTGCAATCTCTGTTCGTAGGATGACATTCTTAAATCGTTATGAGTGAAGCGAAGTGGCATATTCTAATGTTAAATATCGTTACTTTGATGCTGTAAATCTTTCATACTGTTAGGCAAGAAGGGAGCAGAAATTAAATGTTTAAGATACAATACTTTGACAGGATTTTAGTAATAGCTAGGCTATTTATTAGGAAAGTATGCCATTTCTACTCACCTATATCATTCTAATGTAACTTAGTATTGTGATTGCAGACTGTTAGCAATGTTTAGTATAATGTGCGGTAGCGTAACTTCTATATTTATCCTAAGAGATATTTGGTAGCCATAATTATAGGCTGTAGTGGTATAGACTCTATGCTAGAGTACAGATGACAACTAAATCTCAGGTGTGTTATTTTTATGTCATCTATCAAGTATACTAATAGTGTATGAAATATAAATTTAGATCTAGAAATTTTTAACTCTACCATTGCCAGTTATTGACGTTAAATTTTCAATCTGCAATCAGGAATTAATTTACAAAGAAATTTTACTATTATCCCCTTCCATTTTCAGTACGATTAATTAATTTTTGGTATGCATGGATTGGTGCCTTAAGATTAAATGTTGGCATAATATCAAAGCCAGATTTTTGGTACCACAACACAACATTGGCTAATATGTTTAGCCCTTCTTTAAGGGTTAATACATTTAAATAGAACTAGACAGATCAGGGTATTTCTTATTATCCTGACATCTTTCTATAGTAAGACTCTAAATACGGATGATTTCCTATTATCGGAGAAAACAGGAACACAACACTAGTCTCTTGTACGTAACTAAACCCAAACTTTATTGAAGAATTATTCAATATACAGTAAATCGACAGAAGCAGTAGTTACCAGTACTTTCGTAGAATTTATTATAAAACTATGAAGTTATCTATTTAAGTATGTATAACTGTAGTAAAAGGACTAAAAGTAGGGTCCTTTGTAGTTTTTTTAGTATGTAATTAGTATTATTTTACTATAGAAAATACCTAGAAAGTGATAGTGTCTTTAAGTTTTACCCTGCCAAATCATCTTGTCGCCATCTTTTCTTCTTCATTATTTTACAAGGTATTATATAGATTACCATAGAAGTAGCCCTATAGAGCAAATGCCTAATCTAAAGAAAGGGCGTTTCATCGTCTATTCAAATTGTAAAAGAATTTGACTTAGTAGCAAAACCCTATCCTTAGAGAAAGGGGATTTATAACATGACGATAAAGTACTGTAATGTAGTCTATACTCGTACAGTTACAGTACAATCTGACGCTAAAACATCAACTGTCAATACTCGCGAATACTAAGCGATACTAATGTGTCAGAAAAGTAGTCGTAGTAGTCATATAAATTTTTTTTGATAAGCGATTACTATGATCTTCATAAAAAGCAAATTTTTCCGGATTTGTGTCCGATATAGTTTCCGGATTCTGGGACCGGTCGGGTTTGTGTCCGATATAATTTTCCTGTTTTGGAACCGGTCGGGTTTATTTTATGTCTGAATTATAATTTTTCTGTTTTAATTTTTGGATTTTTGTTCATGAAAAATATCGTAAGAGTTGATTTTTGAGATTTGGACTTTTTGTTATGAATTTGAAACTTTGGAATTTTATGACGTGACTTGAAGTCACATTAGGAGATTTAGTGAGGAAAATAGAAAATAAGATGGAAATTGGTAGAGGTTGTGTTGATTGTTAGGTAGTTAGAATGTTGTTTTTATGACTAAATCTTGATGTTTAAAGGTTGATTTTTAGACTTTTATAGTGTATTAATGATAGAAATTATGTTAGAAATGAAGTTTGATGTATTTTTATAGTTAGCTTGTTACTTTTATAGTGTTTTGTAAGGGAATCGTAGGGTAAATTGTGTCTGAACTTTGAATGATTTTTGTTTTCTTAAATGGTGCAAAGTAGTTTTCTAAAACGGATCTTAAGAGCGATTGGTTAGCAAATGTTTAGTTTTAAATACCTCTGACGGCTCTACGAAGCCAATAAATGATAGTGCAATTAGAAAATTTAGAGGGAGAGTAGAAGAAGATTTTATTTGAAGAACTTGTTGAATTTAAAAGGCCTTCGGGGTCGAATTGTCGTAAGTTAAAACATTGTTGTTTTTGAAAGGTTGTTTGGTCGTTGACAGTTTTTAAGTCTGTCATTTATTTTAATAATACTTAAAGCTAAGTATTTGTGCGGTTGTTCGGTTTATACTTCTCTCCATTTTTGTTTTGAAATAAATTGTTGTTCGGTTATTTCCCCAAATTTTATTTGGTGTCAAAGTATTAGCGTTAAGTCGACCGGAGTGCAACGAAAGTAGAATCAAAGTTTGTTAAAGTTTCGTAGCTTGATCTCTACACATTTCATTTCATTACATAACGTCATACATAAATTAATGTAAATACATTCCTACATACGTTTTCTTGTTGAAAGATTACCCATTCATTTCCGCCAATATTTATAAAGGGATGAACTAAATTAATACATTACAGTATTTATAACTAATCGTCTTCTGAAGAAAACTTTCTTTTATGATATTTTATAGATTAATTTCTTAATTCAATTGAATATTGTTCTGCCATTCTTAAATTCTGTAATTAATTGCTTTTATAAACTCTAGCTACCCGAACCAATTATGTTGTGAAAATTAGACTAGATTAGATAGAAAAGTTGTAAGATATTTCGATTACACTGTAATTCAATATGATCAAAGAAAACTAGACAGATTTTGATCAAGCTATGCTATATCGTTTGTATATGACAGTAGCCTATTCTGCTACCTTACTTAAACAAAGAGGATAAAACTGAGTGATTAAGTACCGTTATTAATCTCTTTGTAATTGCATCAGTATATATGTGGCATATATTCATTAATGAACAATTGATGGCGGCAATTAACTATGACATCTTTTCAATACTAATCATAAGTTATTCAAGCATTCCAAGCAGACTCTAAATCTCCATATTGCTGGTACCTTAGGGTACCGTTGGCTATTAACTAGATTTGGTAACTTACTGTATCGTACCGGATGATGTATGTAGAAGTAATAATGCAGGTCAATCTTAGTAGTAGTATTATTTATCACCAGCTAATTTGAATTCGCGATTATCATCAAGTAACGCTACTGATCACTGTGATTGTTAGCTTTGCTTGCTCCATTGGCACTAACATAATTGTTTATGGATGTGTACTTTGTCCTTAGCTAGAAAAAAAGAATTTAAAATTGATGAAATAGCAAGGTGAGTAAGCATTAGCTAAGGGCATCGTTGATCATGCTTAACTTGAATGCTATACTTAAATGATACTAAGTAAGTCATCAATCTTTGAAGATCTCACGTATTAGCACTTTTATAAGTAAGTTAAGTACGCGTGGGTATAGTACTTTTCTAGAATACTAGAAATATTGTGTGTATGAAAGTTGACCAACTAGTTCTATTGAACCTTAGTATTACTAAAAGGTAAAATGGAAATTTAGTCTTTGAAGGTGATTCCCAAGTCAATCTTATTTGCTTAGTATTTTAACTTAAGATAGACAGTATAACCACGTTTTAGTTAGTTAGTCGGTTAGTCAGTCAACTAGTTTGTCAATTGCTATTAAATTGTCAAGACTATAATCTTGATTGTCAAGATTTGTTCAGTAATAAATACTAATAAATCTCTGACTACCTCGTCTACACTATCGGCGAAGCTATAATTATACTATAGTATTCGGTCATTGGAACTGATTTATTTGGTGATACAGCAAGCTCGACTCTTCAAGTCAGTAAGAGGCGTTCTTCATAATCATTGGCCTGTGTAGACTACTTTGTCACTAGTGGTGTGTAAGAGTCAGTTAGATCAAGCGTTAAATTACACTCTATTAATTTCGCTTTATTTCAAAACTTGTTGGTAGATTTCTAGAAAGAACAATCAGGTAATCTAATGCCGCCTGTTTATACGAGTATACTCTCTATAGCCTTCACAGCTACATTCAACATGGCAACATTTTATCTTATTTTACACATAATCAAGTTGTTTTTATGAACACTATTTTAAAGCAAACCATCGTTAATCCAATATGGAAACAGTTACAATATTTACGTAGACATTATTCCTACCACTCGAAGTACAGTACAATGTACTAACCATATCCTAATGTATGATTTACAGTTCTATTTCTACTTCTAACGTTATTAGTAGTTCAACATCTTACTGTTTATAGCCATCTGTATTCTAGCATAAATTCTACTGTTACAGTCTTTAATTATGGGCTATTAAATATATCATCAGATAAATATAGATACGACACTTGCATATATCATATCAAACGTGGCCAGTAGTCTAAAATCACTGTTATTTTACAGTTGGATAGAACATTTAAGGCTGTATCTTATTTAATTGCTTTGCATAAAATAAATCAATGCTGGCTTGAATCTATACTATTACCTACGACCCCCTGTTTTTGATTTTACAATTTTTAAGTGATAGCCAGCCTATCAGGGGTCTAGAATGTCATAGCACATTTCAAAATAACTGTTTCAGGAAAAAGTACTATATTAACATAAATTCCGTAGAGATTTTACCCGACAGCATTTCAATATAATTTATAAGTACAATTTATTACAATGCATAAAATGTCCCTTAGTGGATCTGTCAGGTAAATGTAAGAAAGAGTAAGTTACACTTTCTCTAAGGTATTGCAACAGAAGAATGTGCCGGCTAAATGTGATTTTATAAATGCAGTTATGCAATTACAATGTCGCTTTATTGATCGTTCTTGCGTTAGAGCTCTACTTCACTGCAAGTCAAAATGTCAGACGAAAACGCCGCTTTGAAAATCGTACCTAATTTTGTGGTTTCTAAACTTGTTTCTAAAGTCGTAAGCAGACGTGATGTACGGATTAAGACATTATATTATCGTTTACGTGCACTATTATAGATCTTACCGATTTTTCTGGCTAGTTTCTTGTCACAATCCTCACTTGTGGCAAAGGAAAGTAAAGAACTCTAGTGTAGTTACTTAAAACTTGGGCTATTTCTCCCAGTACTTTCAGTTTCTATGAGAGAAGTATTTGAGAACTCGATTTCTCGGCTGATCTCCACAGACAACTGACTAATTACTGCACTATTCTTCACGATATGAGTCTTGCCGTTTCTTGAGCAATTACTTTCTTTATTCTACAAACACACGCGCTTAAATAGGTTTCTACAGTGAATTCCAATATTAACGAGTGAGAATTCATGCTTTACAAGTTACATTAATTGGTATAATACCATTACTAAATATCCATGTCGATATTCTCAGACTTAGATAGCTACAAGCTATCAGGTGTTAAGACGCTTAACCTTAGTCCATATACAGATCAATTTTTAGAGATTAACACACCTTACAAACCTGCAGTAAACTAACTGTTAACAACTTCTATTTTTATCTCATTTCTACCATCCTATTATCAGCTACAAGCGCATTAAGCATAGCACATAACCTTATCTTATCTATTCATAAGCATTCATTAAACAACAGTTACTTAATTAGTAACGGAGTACCGTGACATTTCTACACAAAAATTTCATCAATTTTTTATTTATGTTTAATGCACTAGGATGATGATGATGGCCCATTTTTATCGCAAATATTGGCGATGCGGTCCATAAAGTCAACAAGGTACTTTGTATAATTTAATCATGATGTTCGGCATGCTTACATACTAGAAGTTTAGTTTTTACATGTTCTAAATGAGATCATCCTCTCAAATTTGTTAGCATAACATTAGAATTAGGGCATAAATTAGAACTTACATATGGCAATTGAAGATTCAGTTATTATTTGCTAATTTAAAATTTTAACTAGCTACGGCCTTTATTTTTTACTTCAGCTTGATTGAAAGGGAATAGTTAATATACTTTACGTATAAATCGATCAACAACATTTGTGTTAATAAAGGTTATTAATTGTTTCTAATTTAAAATTGATGCTGATAGTGGCGATAACTAATGCCTCGCATAGAGCAATTTTATGGTATGGAATTTATTGTGATGGAGGGTTCGATATTTCAGAGGATTGAGATTTAGTCGCCATTTACAATTATTACAACAAAGAGTTTATAAAAGTTATGCTTTATTGTAGGTTAGTAATGTGAAGTACAGTGAGGTAGTTACGGTAGATCAGCGTGCAAGCTGTCGTGAGTAACGAGTAGAAGTATTAGACTGTGAGAGACTAACTAGAAGACTAACTGAGAGGCTAATGAACTCTGAGGTAGAAATCGCCGGTATTTATAGTTTTAAAGATAGAGCACATGCAGAGAATAGAATTGTGGAATTAGATACAACATATACCATAACAGGTTACAAAATAGCGTAAGATTGTAGAAAACAGCGAGTACCGTAATAACTAAATACAGTAGTCTATATATGAATGTAGAGTAAGCGGACTGTAGATCTGTCTAAATATAAGAGCAATACAACATGTCTATATTTAAGAGTAGAATATAGTTACAGTATATTCTAAATACACTACAGAATTTATTGACATTCTCTACATACGTACTAAATAAAATTGCTATCAACCAAATACTTATCGATTTTATCGTTTTTAGCTATAAAGTGCAATGATAACATGATGTTGCTGACCACATTGCACTTATTAGGGGTAGGCTTTTCTGCCGTTAGCAAGGTAGCAATCATTACGAATATTTTAAAGTGCTCTTTACAGAGAAATATGCTTATGAAATTAAATGCCATCTATCATTTATAAGAATGAAATAGAAAAAGTTATAAAAATTGGTGCAAGAGCAAATCAAATTTTCTATTCTAATCCCTGAAAGCCAAGGTTTCATCTGAAGTAAGAAAATATACGTAATTAGATAAATAATTCTTAGTATAAATTTTTAGTACTTGATTATTGTTTAGCATAGTCGAATTAAGTTAACTAAATACTCGTAAGCCATAATTTAGTCAAATTTCAGTCACGGCATTAACACGGCTATCTCGCTGTTGTAGATTTGCGGCAAGTCATAAAGTTCAGTTTATGACATTTGATAATGTATCAGAATTGTACAAAATGAAGAAATTATGCCCGGAAGCAAAGTGATCTGCTTTACTTTTTATTATTTATAGTTGTGCAATGATATAAACTATCAATATAATATTCCACTATTTCATGTAATTTTTATCTTTAGATTACTTCTACGTTTAATGATTGACGATTCTGATACTCATTATCAGGTAAGAGAGAAATACGAGTTAGAAGTTTAAGTGAACATGTAGTGATGTATTTGATGATTGCGACATATTGGAGAACATCAATAGTATAGGAAACTGTGTAAGCGGTTACAGTTAGATAATCATACGAAATGATTCATTAATGTAAATGAGTAGATAACAATTATATGTAAGCTAATTATTTTACTATCAGAATATTTGAAAAAGTGAGAGGATTAGGATTTAATTCGCTTTTAAAATGCATGTAACTACAGGATATAAGAGCTATAAATGAAGGATAAAAATAATTAAAGTGCCTCTTTCGGTCTTGTGTTATGTATCCAAACTATTTTTAAATTAGCCCATTGAATGAAATACTAGAGGATTATTTAATCTATATAGATCAAATATAACGTGAATGAGTCGTGCTAAGGCTTAAACTTCGTTTAAGATTAGATTATACCATTTATAAAGATGTTGCTTAGCAAATTAGGAACTAACAATTTAACTTATAATTCACACTGAAACATTACTTAGCTTGGATCAAAGTATGGTGTAGAAATAGATGATGTTTCGAGTGTCCTACAAACTGCTCAACAGTTGCAACTAAATGTTGTTGGAATAAGGTAAAAGATGGCATAATTTTCCACGTTTAATTATAAAATTATATTTTTTATAGAATTAAATGAAAATAATGATTTGAAGTCACAAGTACTTGACCTCTTTTAATATAGCCAGTAACGCGATCAATGCTGTATCTGTAGAGAAAGTAATGCTAAGCTTTATGTTGCTAAATCGTTACTATTTTATTTTACTTACCTACAGTACGTACAGTAAACTAAAGTCTTTGCTTAAATATCGTCGTGTCTCAAAGCAAAGGCATTGTATTGGATCAATTAATAAACCTAAATATTGTACTTTAAAGTTATCATATAGGCCATGGGCGAACAGACACTTCATTTTATATCTCTGCCATTAAAATAGCAAAGACGGCTTTTAATTATGGGGTGAATTTAATAGCTTAAATTAATCTTCACAGCATATGAGTATAAAAATAATTTACCATTTGGCTCATAACACAGAGTAATAACACCATACAACCTATATGCTTTTAGAAATCTGCGGGTTATAATTTTAATATATTAAATATTGGTGGAGGGTTTCCGGGATACGCAGATTCTATATTTGAAAAAGTTAGTTCCTATTTTTATATATTTACTTAGATCGGCGAATAATTTTACCAATTTTAAAATTTTACTTATTTAATACTTTAGATATGTGTTGATGTAAACAAGGCCCTAGATGAACATTTTCCACTTGCTAGTAACGTTAAAATTATCTCTAGTGCAGGTAATATAGAGTTCATATAGAGTATCATTTATAGCGATCATTAGGCTTTTGCTTGTAATAGATGCAAGTAGATTTGGAGTTATTTCAGTTCTTTGACATGATTAAGTAAAAAAGAATATCTACTGTTTTAAATCCGTTAGGTCGCTATTTTGCAGCATCTGCCTTTCATTTGACCGCGAGCGTTGTTAGCAAGCGAGAATTGAAGTGCAGTAGAAGTAAGATGTTAAGTTGATATTAGCATTTTTCTATTGATAATGATACTATAAGTTAATGGTAAAGATGGGCAATTAATATGACTTTAAATAATTATAGCAGAAACTTCGGAAGTTAAGAGCATAAATACAGAATCAGTTCGTATTAATCTATAATCATGAATATTGCGTATAATTTGAAATAATGGTGATCGTATGATCATTGAATGTTAATGATAAAATTTAATTAATTTTCTGATTTAGAAACGATTCATGTACTATATAAACGATGCCTTGCATGTCTCATTTGGTTCGCTGTTACGCAAAAAAAGTACTATTTCTTTGCAAGCTTTGGGCAAGAAGAGTGACTTGCAATATCTAAGCAGTGTCTGGGCTTCTAATTGCAGCGGGATAGATTGCATTCAAGAATAATGTCACTTTCCTGAGGTAATTATCGTTCTAATTTATGTAGTAATTTCTTGTTTTACCCCATTATTCTGTTCACTTGCTGCCAATTAAATTAATCCATTAATATTATAAATTTTGCAGCTAGAAAATGGCGATTTAATCTGTTGGGAAGGCGAGTCTTTTGATATATGGTCTTATCCAGTTGTTGATATGCAGTATCTAATTCTTTTAGTTAAACGTTCGTAGATATGGGAGCCTATGCATTGACTCTGCACACAAGTTTTAATGGTCTTGATAAGGCTTCGGTGTATCACTTTATTGATCGCAAGACTTGGTAAGTAAAATAAACATAAATCGAAATGTCAAAAAATTAGATGATAAAGAAATGTAAATTTCTATCTTCTAACCAAAATTTAGGGATGCTATGAAAGACAAGCTATTGCCATATTTCAATAATATCAGTGAAGTTGATTTATAAATTGGTTATAATATTCTTAACTACGTTGGTAAATAACTCAACAGCTGCAATATTATGACGACTTCCTCAGCAAATATTCCGTCAACTTATTATATGAACAAAATATGTTTTAGGAATTCTTAAAGGAGCGCTAAATTATATTCTGAATAACTCCTTAATCAAATGATTAATCAACTACATAACTATATAACCAGTTGCTGCTATGAATCGCTTATTTACCGCGTGCTTTTATTAAATAGCGAAGAATTCTGTTACATAATTCAGTTGGATGTAGTAACATTGACTATATATACTTGTATCGACAAGTTAATGCAGTAGGGACATGTCGATACCACGTAATCCCAACTTTGTTTGATTACGTTAAATATGCAATTATGATATAAATCTCAATATCACTGGAGTTGATAAAGTAAATTCTGTGTTGATTTTGCTTGTATTAGTTCTTACCTAGATAATTTCTGCAGCATGGTAAGGTGTATCTGTTACTTAGGATTCGTTACTTAGAGAGCTGATGTTGTTGTTACGTCCAATTCGCAATGTCATATTCTAGTAGAGTTACGGTAATGATGTAATATGCATCGTTTTCAATCCATTCAGTAGTTTAAAGAAGCAAAAGCTTTAAAATTTGGGGGTGCTTGTTTCGAGAAATTACTCCTCTAAGATTTTCAATGAATTCGTAGCTAATATTTGGGTAATATATTTGAAACATTAAGTGATGTAATATATTTCACCACTCTAGATGAAGGAATGCTTCTTACGGGATAAATCATATTAGCTCATCAATATCGTAAATGAAGTTTTTAATGAAGATCGTTCAATCGTTTGAATAATACGCCCGAATATAGCCGATATAAATTAAAATAAACTAGCTACAATATAGAATATAATTGGAGGTACTTCAATCAAAAAAGCTTTCAACTGAAGCATTACTATGTTGACTAAGAATGCTTAGAACTACGCTGAAATTCTAGTCATTTATACAACAGTCGCAGTACCAGAACAAAATAAAACAGGCTAAAACTGAGAATAATTTAAAATTACTCAAAGTTAGTCTTCTTTTCTCAACCGCAGGAAAGACACTTTATCATTTAACGGCTTCGAACTTTCAAATTAATGTGTTATAACTTATTACCATTTTAGCAACAATGCATGATTTTAACATTAGCTGATATGAGATGTTTGGCTACAAGTAATTACTAAATTAATAATTTGATATCGTTGCCGCTAAGATAGATTTAATCTCGGATTGTCATTTAGGTTAATCTCGTTGAATACACAATCGAATCTGAACTACCTCTACTAAATAAGTTTTGTAACCTTTGTAAATTTACCTCCGATGATGCGAGAAATAAAATGTGATAGATAATTATAATCTTTACATTGTTTAGTTTACTACATTAAGAATGGCACTGATGGAAATCGAATAAACCACTTTTGGCTGCCTGATGATACGATTGTTATTAATGTTGCATACAGTAGATGAATTTATAATTAGTACCGGCATGTAATAAGTTAACTGTAAGATAGAGGGGAATGGTCTATACAAACTTTATCAGTCAGTTTCAAAAACAAACTATACGTTTTATTACAAAATGAAAATGTTCTGGTAACCAAATCAGTATCGCTGATATAAAATAATAATCACTTACAGTACACCGTCTTCCTTGTTCTTGAGATTCAAAGCAAGAAAGCGCAACGGTACATTTACCTACATTTTTGGGGCTGATCTTAGAGGAGACGTAGTAGCATATATTTTCGAATGGTTTTCGGTTAGGTTAGTCGCTTACTGTTAATGATACCTGTGTAACTTATCTAAATTTCCTTGTTGATGACTGGGTATCTGTGATAAAGTGATCTTCAAAACAATAAATCAAGAAATACAGTTTCTTGCAAATTTCACTTTATTCCAGAAGTTAGGTTCGTCTAACTACCAAGGACTATCTGACTATCTGACAATCTGACAATCTACTTATTACAGCAAAATTCACGATTTATATACGATTAGTTACAGAATGCTTTTACTGTAACAAATCTTGTCTTGCCCATTAAGTCGCAAGATCAGATCTAAATTTACTATCGCGCAATCTATTCATAATTCGCGCGTCTATTTAAAGCATTACAATACAATACTAACAGTACTAACATACTTAGCGCAAATCTATTTATATCTCAGATCTTTATATAAACATTTTAATTGATTCGCTACAATACGTACTGTAAACATCTTGTACAAATAGACTCTTATACAATCTTACACTCTAGCTTTCAAGTTAAGTTATTCTCGTACAGTCTTATAATAGTAATCTAAGCTATATTTGGGGCTGCACTACAATATCATACGTTGTTGTGGCGGTAGCTACAGTTTATTAAGACTTACGTGACTTATTATGCTGTAACGATGAAGGTGGCTATAGAATCTTATATTGAGAATCTACTTGAAAAAAATGTTTTATTTAATGGCTTGAGCCTAATAGCTGTAGCAGGCTACTTTATTACCGTAGATAGATTAAAAACAAAACGTATTAAAGAACTTAGGCTAGTTCAACCATTGCTCTGTTTTGAGTTCAGGATACTTTAGCTTATGTTCTTATTTTGGTTAATTATAGCTACACCTTTCTTAACTTTGCAATGAAAGTTCTATATTTTGTCTGCCTGAGATCATTATTGATTAAGAATTAATCATAAGTAAGATGGCGGCACTCGACCTGAGTGAACTGGTGGTGTTGTTATAGTCCAAGTACGAAATCCAGGCAATTTGCGAAATGCCTAATCAATAATTGACTGGATTTCGTACTTAAACGGTAACAGTGTCAAGGAATACATTTAGGCTTTATGATAGTCGAATACTGCTAGTGAATAATTTTAGAGACTATAGCCGTAGCCTTAAGTGAGAATGGAGGAAAGAGTTTAGTCGATAGTTTGAGAGCAACCGGTTTATAATTTCCTTGGTCTAAATTTACCACGGCAATATTCAATAATAATTTTTAGTAAGAAACAATTTTAACCGCTACCTTACATGATCAATTATTAAGCGACTAGTTTCAAAGTAGCGCTAGAATTAGCACTTTATTGCGGAAGCTGGCTGTTGTAGTTATGTATTGGATGTTAATATAAATGTTGCAATAGCGTGGTTTCGTTACTATTAAACTACATTAACCTGTAGGTGGTATGCGTAGTCAATGTTTCGGTATCATATTAAGTCAAGTGATTAAAATCATAGGTAGCACCGTATATTATGTATGAGCAACTGCGTAATAAAAGCGTAGGGTCGATTAGCTCAACTCCTTGAGTTGCCTAGTTAGTCGATTGAGTCCCAGGTTTTATGAGGAAAGTAAGTTCGTGTTAATTTGAGTAATTAAAAAATAAAAAGTATTTACTTGATAATATGGTGAAGTACTTCTTAATTAAGGAACTAATCTTAGTACCGCAGCTATTGAGCTAATTTACTTGCCAACGAGGCCTAGAAGATAATAAGACTCGTATCAGTAATAGAACATTTAAAGTTACTTTTGAAAAATGGACATTCCACTTGTAATTTATAAAACTGTATGTTTTGATTGACTGTATATAAATGATCAACACCTTTACTGAGGATATTCAGTTCGATAATCTATATCGCTATAGTAGAAACTAACATTAATAAGCTTCAGAATTAATTGCTTTGTTGTAGGACTATTACAAGCGATATCGTTTGCCACTAACTAAGGAATGATGAATGAGGATTCCGCTTTAAACATTTTACCTGAATTTTCACTTAGACAGCTCATCCAAAAGATCGCAACTAACCGTATAGTAAGTTTTATCGTTGTAATTGGATTTGAATCAATTCTTAATTAATTTCTTATACTAAATATTTAAAGCTAAATACTATGTACGAGCTAAAGGATAGTATACAAGCTTCTCGGATGACACTTACCTGCTTCCTACTTATGTTTGTAAGGATGATGATGATCGATCTTTTTACATAGCCAATATCGGAGATGTTATTTATAAAGTTCAAAGAGTAAGTGCGATAGAATATCAATCCAAAGACCATGAAAACTTTTGCAATGTCTGTAGTATGTAAATCTAATACGCTACTGCAATTAACTGTAAACTTTCAGCGATTAAGGGTTATACGCATATTTGCTAGATATTTTTACGAAATAGGTTTGGCCAAAAATAGTCAAAATATCTAGTAGATTAATATAAATTAATAAATACCGGTCGTAATCGAATAAAAGTACTGAACTATTCTATTCGATATTAATAAAAAACTACGTTAATACTAAGTATGGTTCTAGACAGTGAAATTACTACGTATTAACATTTTAAATTGTAATTAAAACCTTATCTAGTGGATGTCCTTATTGCCTCGTGTCCAGCCTTTCTATGGTAGGCTTAGGGATATTCTAAATTTATTGTCGTGAATAACTAAATTATACAGCTGTTGAGTTTTTATTGCAAATTTAATTATCGAAATTCCTTGCTTCTGATTATAGCCGTGAAGTGTAATAACGACATAAATTTGCTAGCAACACTTAATGCATTAGGAGTTGGTTTTGATGCCGCTAGTAAGGTAGAGCTATAGTAAAACCATGATTTAAAGGAATTTTAAAAATCAATATTTACGAAGTTGATTTAAATAGTCACAACTTTAACAAATGTATCTAGAACGAGATGGAAGCCATTGTTAAGATATGCGCCCATTCCAGTAAAGTTATTTATGCTAATCCTTGTAAACAAATTTCTCACCTGAAGTAAGTCCTGATAAGTAGAGCAATAATAGCGCTATTGCCTATAACCTTCTGCTTGCCTACTTTTAATTAGAGCAAATAGAAACGCTGCAGTAAAATATCTCGAAAGGCATTATAGTAACCTCGATTAAGATTCTTAACTAATATTTAAGATTTACAGAACGCCATGGAATAGCTTTAATGACCTTCGATAACGTATCAGAGCTACATAAAATCAAGCGATGCTATCCGGAAGCAAAGTAATTTTATATGTAATTTCTTATTGCTTTAACTCTTAGCTAATTAAGAGAGTGTACTACATCTATCTTTAAGTATAAATTTTTATTTTAAATTTTAATTAATAACTAATTCAGACTGTTATTACGGATTAAGATCGATGATTTTGGTACTCTATATCATGTAAGTGTAACCTTAAAGTCTTTAAGGACTAATATGTTAAAACAGATAACTGTCTTCTTTCAATTAATTGTATAGCTTAGTGAAAAGTATGGCGTCGATATTGAAGATTGCCCTAATCAACTTCAAGTAGCTCGTGATCTGCAACTTAACGTAGTTGGGATAGGGTAGATATGTTGCCGTATTCCGCATTCTGTTAACGTTCTATTAAATATGAATTTGTCACTGATATCGATATTGCGTTTATAAAAACAGAATGCTAAAAAAATCAAATGCGGTATTTCAGATATTCATTTCTTCAGCTGCCTGATCTAAATTAATTAAAAAAATTTTTCGGTTGCAGCTTTCATATAGGTGGCGGACGTTATGACGGCGAAATTTTCGCTTCTGCCATACAGCTGGCTAGAAAAGCATTCCATTATGGTGTAAATAAAATATTCTTCTACTCTCGCTCTTTATTTGATCTAAATCTGTAGTTTTGTTTTACATCCGTATTAGAAATCGATCGGATATAATTTTGACATTTTGGATATTGGTGGTGGATTTCCTGGATATGCTGATGCTAAATTTGAAACTGTTTGTTTGCAATATGCAATTAAAAAACGTCTTCATGAAATATTTTCGATCTTTATGAAATGATTTCTCGATATAGATTTGCGCTAAGATTAGACAAGCCTTGGACGAGTATTTTCCTATTGAAGATCAAGTTAAGATTATGTCAGAGCCGGGTATACTGAGATTATAATCAATAATAATTTTGATAGTTATTTCTAATAATATAATGAGAATTCGCGCCTTTTTTGATTGCATTTTTAAACAGATACACTGTAGAAAGTAGATATATATTGTATCAAGGAATGACAGTTATAGAATTTTCTTAAAATCAGGTCGATATTTTGCCGAAAGAGCTTTTCACTTGGTCATGGACGTAATTGGAAAGCGCGAAATTAACGCAAAAGAACTTACTGCTCAAGGTAAGTTATGTCAATTGGTATGAATTATTTAAAAATTTTCTTAAGTAATACGTAAAATTTGAGTTTATTACCATCATATAACGAAAAATTAATTCTGTTTAACAATTATTTCAGGTGAACAGGTGATCGAATTATGAATAATCCATACGTGCAAATGCAAATTTCGCGTTAATTACTGCCCAATACTGCAAATAGTTATAGTTACCGCTCTGTTCATTTTCAGAAAAAGTATGCATATTATGTGAATGAGAGTTTGCATGGATCCTTTGGAAATGTTTTACATGATTTTGATAATCAGAGTTTCCTACCTGTCAGTAAGAGCTTGGAAGGACTTTTCTCAAGTACAGTCTGGGGTTATTCCTGCTCCGGATTGGATTATCTACTAAAAGAATGTCAGCTTCTGGAGGTATGATACCATCACATGATTAGTTTATAGAAGAATCGTAGACCTTTTCCAGAATGATTCATTTTAACTTTCTACAGCTTTTCTTCAATTAGTCTTCAGATGCATCTCAAAAGTATATGTTTTTCTTTGTATATTATTTCAGTTAGATATTGGAGATTTAATTTACTTTATGCAGAACGTCAGATCCTTATAAAAGGATATCAACAACACAACAAAATAGTCATTTCAATTTTATGTCGAAACAGGCTTTGGTGCGTATTTCTCGGTATTCCATAGTCCTTTTAATGGCTTTAGCAAATCTTCTACATACTATTTTATCGAGCTATCAATTTGGTAAGAATTGCATCATAATGCTGCTAGTTAAATAATTGGCATTGCCTGTAAGATAATGGATTTTCTTAAACCCATAAACTGAGAATGAGAGATTCGGTTCAATTTCCATTTCATAGGGAGACAGTTAAAGAAAAATTATCAAAATGCCTGAAGTACCAGTACGTCACGGAAAAGGGAATTTAAATAGTTTGCTTTCATTTACTCAAAATCCATAATTAAAGTCTTTAATAATTTAGCTGTACCCATCGATTATAATTAGTTTCGAGTCGTTTGGCTTATATCACAGTTAATTCTTATATCTAGCAAGTGTGAATTGACTTCTATTAAGTCGTTTTAGCTAGTTCAGCAGATTTAATATGGTATATCAAAATATTACTCTATGCCTGGTAAAAGCATGCTATACTGTAATTAATACTCCTACAATTATATCGACTGTCTGTAAGTGGCAGACCTCGAATCAAAGGTTTATTTTCAGATAATTAAAAATCTACCGTATGGTTATCACAGTTTAATTTTGCTATACATTAAATACGTTCATGTATATTGTAAGATAAATTTGCATGAAACACCATTAAGCAGATACTAATATCAACTTAATAACTGCAATTTGTTGCAAAGTTTTTGCTGAATATTGGCCTACCTTAACGAACTACAACTTCTTTTCGTCTTGTACGCTTAGCTCTATAGATTTAGTAAATGTTTTACTTTCAATGTTTTAAGAAATAATGAGATAATTTTTAACAAAGCAGCAAATCATTGAAAATTTTTAGAAATAATACCAGTTTGTTAGATACCTAGCTAAATATGAAAATTTCGCTTGTAAATATTTCCTCTAAATCTAACTAAAGTGTCAAGGATATCTCAGTGTCACAGATCGAATATAGTGACTTCCATTTGATACATAACATAATTGATGATGTCGAAGCAACTTACATCAAGGGTTAGGAAGAATAGTAGTTAGAATATGGAAAACTTGATAAAACATGCTTTAAGTTTGTAATATTGTATCTTTCTATAAATAAAATGTAAAAAGTAATACATTCTTTACATTAGTGCTTCCCAAGCTAATTAAGGTATACACCCTATTTCAAACTGCAAATAAAATGGAGATAATTATTTTGGGTGATTTGCTGACACAGTTGCTTTCAGCTTGTAAGCTGTATATCTTCCTTAATTTTTTGTATTGACAAAATACGGCTAATACCTTAAAGACTTATAGTTGTATAATTGCCGAGATGACACAGTAATTCAAAGGTGTAACATCATAATGTTTATAGACCTATGTCTAGGAAATAGTTGCCGCAATTTTTGAAATTTTAATAATTGACCCCTAGTATCTAGCCGAGTGCAGCTCAGATAACTAAGTTAGCGTTCTGTAGGAAGATGAAATTAAGAGAAGTTGTTGTCGCCTTAGACGTTTACTTAAATACGATGATCATGCTTGCTAATAGTAATCATAAGGTTACTTACAAACCAAATTAATTAGTTACATAAACGATCGTAAATCAGCTGTCTTGTGCGAGCCTTTTCATTATGAAGTATTATTTGTTAAAGTACCTTACAAGGCCAAAGCTTATCGATCACATAAAGGATCTTAATATGGATAAAATCTTCTTAATCGAGAGTTTTACTATATATAATTAGCAGGAGGCAATTTAAATACTAGTACTATAAAAGTATTGTGTATTTATTAATTCAGCACCGTGATCGGACAGAAAGACGAACCGTCATGATTTGCCTACTGTTAAACATGTTAGAAACTAGGCTAGTTTTAGACTATAATTAACAGATTACTTCTACGGTGAGCATCTATACTATAAACTGTTACCATTAGTAGGGCATTAGACATATAGATAAATGTATGTTTTACAGGGTTTTAGTCAACAATCAAGAAAAGGCCTTGCAGTAGTATGAATAACTGTTTATGAACATCTGTTAATCATGATCCAGGGTGCAATAATTCAAGTCTACAGTATATCATGAAATAAGTAACAAGCAAAAATGGAATTGTATAAATATTGGAAATACAAAGTTGTTGTACTACTTGTTCTATTTACGATACTACAATTTCTATTCCGAATTTTATCGAGAACTCACACTGCAAGAGAAAGCTGCCCACCCTCATGCAGTTGTCATGAATCTAAAATTCTTTGCCCGACTATTACTGATGAATTAGCATCCTATGTAAGCCATGGATATAAACGCATGTAAGTTCATGAGCCCAATCTAAAGCTACTGTTATTTGCCGATATAAAAACTGAAATAGTCGAAATTGTTTCTAGATATGTTGAAAATATCGTTAGTAATAGGATTTTCATATCGCTATCTTGACAGCATTCAAACGGTGAAAGAATTAATTATTCTCTATATGGATGTAAACGATGATTTAGTGCTTAGTTTTGATGTTAGAAGATTCTAAATAGCTTGAAATTAAGCCACTATTAATGGTAAATCAATGTTACAGTTTCCCAGATTAATTTATTCGACTAATACATGCTTAGAAATGCTTTCAATAACACTTGTATACAGCTCGTTAAAATACAATTATAGATAAGTTAGAGGTTTAATTGCCTATTTGTGAGTCGCGATATCAATCTGGCTTAAGACACAATCTTCTATACTTTAATAATTTCAATAGGCTGAGATTGAGCTGTATTTAATGGTAAGATTAAAATTACACTTCACCAGACTAGCTTACATGACTTGTACATGCTGATTAGAAATACTTTGAATCATAATTGTTTACAAACCCTTATTAATGCTAAGATGTAATTGTAGATTATTTAGAGATGTAATCGCTTATTTACGAGTTGCAATGTAAAATAGCTATAAAAAGAGTCAATTCTTATAAAACACTTGATAAAATTCGTAATAGAATCAAGTAATATTTGAACATGAAAATTAGAGTACATCAAGAAGTAAAATCTTGAATGGTTTACCATAAGACATTCTTTGAATGACTAGTATTTTATGTACCCTTGCATGATAGTGCGATAGCTGATAAACTACAGTGTGAAGATCCAAGGCTTCAAAAATTGCTTCATTCTGCAAATGAATACTCCGTGGAGGTTATTGGTAAATGTTGGACCTCAAATGGCAATAGAGACTTGCGAAAACCGAATCTCGAACATAGCAGCAAAGATCCACTAATTCGAAAGCGAGGTTACTAGATGTGATTAACCAAAATAGTTTCTTGATCATGGCCAAAATGTGTTTAATTATTTTTGTCACTATAATTTTCATACTTACGATATTAAAATCAATATATCTTAATTTTATTCTATTATAATTTATTTAATTGGGATCTTTTGAGGAATTATACATCTAGAACTTAGTTTTAAGCTATGCACATTGCTGATAGAAAATATACTGCGATAGGATAATATAGCATGTTATTCTGAAAATTGTTATTCCAGACTGATCGAGAGTTCTTAGCGATTATTCTTTACTAATTCACGAAGAATCAATTTATAGCATAAAAATTTTCAACCCTGTAACTGCATGATCTCGATTGGGTTCTACTTCATTACGAATCTAATAAAGTTAATAGTTACATTATGATCTTATTAAGGACATAAGAAGCCATCATTCAAAAATAATCGCGATCAACGTATCAAATCGCACCATTTCCAAGAACATTCGGTCTATAATCTTCAAGGTTAGTACAGCATAAAAGTCTAAGTCTAAGCTGAATGAATTGATTCGTAAGAAAGAAAGATTAATTTTTAAAATCGATAAAAAACTAAATTTATATATATCAATATCAATAATCTCTAAGCTTTTAATTTAACATTACATGCTCCATTAGATAATGATAGAAAATGTATAGTATTCTTACTTTTAATTCTTATGTTTCGGTACTGAATACTTTTTTTATAAAATCGCCTGTCCAGATGAACCATTATTCTCACATAGCTGTTTATTTCGAAAAAGTCCATGCCGTTGGAATCAATTAGAAGCGATTGATTTCCTGGATTGGAAGCATCGTTAGTATTATTAATAATTTGAATTTACAATTTTTAATGCTAGCTATTTCTCATATGCATTATTTTTGGCGTTTTAAATGTAAACTAGTAGTGTATAAAGAGTATATTTAGATCTAAAAATTCAAAAAATTTTCAGCATTTCTATTACCAGCTATCGATGTTACATTTTTTATTTTATAATCAAAAACTATTGTGCAAAATTTTCAATTATCTGCTTTCAATTCTTAGTAAAATAAATTATTATTGGGATCGTTGTGTTAGGTTTAAATGTTGGCATGGTATTAAAGCCAGATTTTCAGTATCCTATAGGAGCTTTCGCGGATATGGTTAGCCCTCCATTAATACTTCCAACAAGAACAAGGCAGATCAAGGTACTTCTGATTATATTGTGCCTGTAATGCAAAGTATTGCCTTCTTTTACATCAGCAATCATTCTGCTAATGTTGCTTCACGTATAATAATGAGCCATGCTATAGAAGTGTAGCAGTTCTCACTTGTAATAGATTACTAACCTCATCAATATCCTAAATCTTATAGATTAGTGTCTACGCAGCGTTTGAAAATGCCACGTTTGCACAGATATCATTTCATGCCGTATATCCAACATCCAGTTCTCATATGGATGATATTAGCAACTTTCATCTTTCAAAAGGTTCGACCAGGAATGTGCTCAAAGATACATTGTATTTCTCACCAAAGTACCCATCTTATTCTGTAAGTATTCTGTAGTAATGGATATATTTGCTTATATGAGCCTTTACTACTCCATTCAGTCAGTTTTTTAAGTTGATTATTTCAGGAAGTAATACCAATATATTCAACATGTTTTCCTTTGCTTTTTAACTGAAGTAAATTGCTAACAAAACTTAGCGTATGAACTATTTTCTCTATTAACGTAGGCCATGGAATAAGGCACATTTCTATATTATCACTTGATGATTATAATTTTACAGTACTGAAATCGATTGACTAACTGCATCCATAATAACATTAAGGAATATGGAAGCATAAATGTTTTTAATCCCTATGCCAAGGATATATTTACGCAAATATTATATCTCTTAATTACTGAATTTCATAAACTCAGATTGTTGTGCGTGGTTTATTTGGCATTCATGAACCTCGTGAAAGTGAGCATTTTGGAGAATTAAGATTAATTCGGATTGAAATCTCACCAATGGGTGAGTAGTTGATGGGTTTTAATGATAAATCAAATTTTATTTTATGGCGTAAAAAATATTCGAAATAGCCAGGCTCAATAATCATACACTGCGGTAGATAAGCCATCGCAAGCTTTTAATACTATTTTATATGCTATTTCAAAGAAGCTTTCAACTTAAAGAAGCTATATTATGCCTACCTTTATTAAATACTTATCATTAGAAAGATACTGTTTCTCCGGAAATGGCCATTACTATCGAGGTGGAGTTGCTAAAACAAAATATGGGCATGCCTGTACTACATGGAAATCAACTTCCTACACGAAGGACAAATTTCCTGAGGCAGATTTAACGAATAATTTTTGCAGAAATCCAGACTCAAGCTTAGCAAGGCCCTGGTGCTTTACTAAAGATTCTCCTAATAGACGGCAAGTTTGTGATATATCCAAATGCCAGTTTCCAAATACACAAACTTCGGAATACCCTTTTGGAAGTAAAGCTAAAATTATTCTATCTAACGTAGACTTGATCGTATTGCTAATCTTTAGCAGTTCATACATTGCTTAAATCTAAAGTAGTATACCAATAGTAATAATCACTCAATTGAATGATAACATTGAAATACTAATTTACTCACACAAAATTCAATTTACATAGCATTAAATCCTTTAAAAATTCAGAATTTACATGGCCTGCATGACTATACTGGACGTATTAGTACGTATATCAATGGAAAATGGCGTTCGATTTGTAATCCATACGATTCTTTGAGTCATAAAACCATTAATTTAATGTGCCAGCAAACTGGATTTGGTGGAGTAGGTGTTGTGTGGTGTAAGTAGTGGTGACTTTAAATTTTTGAGATTTAAGTTTAATAAAAGCTGAGTATGATTAATTATATATAATTATTAAAGAATACGTTGTCTATTGATCTTAGCTCGTCCTGCCTTGCTGAATAATACTTACTGTATTGATGCTGAAAATATTGACTGCCCGTTATCAAAGAAATCATTTTCAGAATGCACAATTACAGCACCTGTAGATTTACGCACTTTTGGATATGAAGTTTGGCTAACTTGTTTTCTCCCTTCCACGTATAATTCATTGAGTAAGATGATAGTCAAATTATCATTTGAAATCAATATTTAGTGATAATCCATTTTAACGAAATTAAATTTTTCTTATTAGGACTATAAATAATTTCTGTGCATTAAATGTACCTTGTATTCACTTCATTAGTTCGTTAATAGAACTATTACGTTACTGCAATTAATCACTGTTTTTTATAGAATTACAACATTGGAAGAATTAAGTAGTTAGAGTATGGATTAAGTTATGGTATTGAGGCTATTAGTAATTCATTAATCGGTACGGTACAAACTAAAGCCATACAATTTGATCGAATTTCAATATAGCAAGCGGATTGTACAATTTAAGCCTTATGCATGAAAAGAAAGATAATGTTGGAGCTGTTCTTGTTCGAAAACATGATGGTCAAGTTGGAACTATATGTACTTCTGGTTGGAACCATAAGTCAGCCGATGTTGTTTGTCGTCAGATGGGTTATCCTGCTGCATTACGTCATGATAGTATGTTCATAGTTAGAAATTCTGTTTGAGTCATAATGTATCGCAGCTGAATATATTAAATTTACAGGAATAGTATTTTCATGATACAACGCTTCACGATGTTATTAGAAAATTTTCCTAATTTATTAACTAGCCCATACACCAAAGAAAGATTATCCAAAACCATTAATTACATCCATTGACTGCCGTGGCTATGAATCATCGATTGATCAATGTGTTATCAATACTGAGCGGTCTTCGGCATTCTGCCGTTCATCCTTACCTGCAACTGCGACTTGTATGATACCTCACGCAAGTCCATGTAAGTTATTTTAGTTTAAACTAAAGCGGTCTAGAGTGCAAGCCATCCTTTAACTTTATAATAATTAATATGATAAATGAAATACAATATCCATAAGTGTTATCGTTGAGAAATAATATCATAATTTTATTACGATTTGAATATAAGTAGCATGTTGTTATTGGATATTTAATAATTCAAAGGAAGTAGATTTAGAAGATATTGCCCTGCAACGTTCCTTAATAATTCAAAATGAACGAGGCATTTGGCAATAACTTAGTTATTGCTACACAATTCGGGCATCTTACAATATTACTATATTCGAATACTTATTGATCGCTGAGCATGTAAGGCAGTTAACGTAGAGCAGCATGTAAGCTATCACAAAGCAACTTAAAAATCGTTAACATAATAAATATATTGTGAATATTGCTACTAATTGAATCTAAGGCAGAAATTGTTAGTTTTGATAGTTTTAGAGATAAAGCACTGCCACAACTCCGTTTAAAACAAAGAAATAGAACCAAGCAACAACTTCGTTTTATTGTCTTTTAAGCAACTGGAAGATCTCTCTCACATCACTTCACTTATATTTGGATCAATTTGCTAGAATTATAATTAGGACTTATAACTAGAGTATTACTTAGCTAGTTAATACTGAAGGAAACTTAAAATTTACGCGGTACTACAGCTACTAAGCGTCGAACTAAACCCTACATGCTTCGAAACCTTAGCCACAGCTAAAGTCAGTGACTTGAAACGATATTTGAAAGTTAAATTTATTACCAGTAACGTGCTACGCCGGGTAAATCCAATTACAACTCTATTTTAACTAATCAGTAGCGAGCTTATATACCTTTATATACTATTTACTGGTTTTCCTGCAAGGAAAACTTAATTAACAAATTAATAAATAAGATATTGATCCTCAGAGTAATTCATCTAATGTATAGCATAAGCAATAGGGAGTGCTAATTAAAATATTATGCTAACTGAAATCATCCAATTGAATAGCCTTAATACTACGGTCTCTTAGGAAACGAGTATAAGTGTTAAATTCTCCATCTTAATTTTAGCTCGCACTTTCTATGCTAATCTTCTTAGCTCTACCATTATCTAGTTTTCTAATAACTTAGTAACGCAAAATATTATTTACGGTAATAAACTATTAGTAACAAACACATAGAGAATAGCGATTAAGATTCTTAAGTAAGATGCAGTCTACAACATAAAATATACTTATGCAATAGCAAATGATTGTAGAAATAGCAAAGACTGTAAACGCTACAAATAACTAACTACGAAAACCTATATTTACCTGGAAAGCGATAAGACTATAAAGATGTCTATAGTTAAGAAATATTTCAAATGCTTACATTAAGCATATGCTACAAGCACGATAGAATCATTATTAATATGTTACTCTCATGATATGGTTTATACAGCGGATCAATGCTCGTTTATACGTAGCTATTGTGGTTGGAAGGTGGCAGGAGATTTAAAGTGGGTATGGCATAGAGGTGAAAGTTGGAATAATCCGCTTCAAATAAGTAAGCAAATTTACTGTATGCGTTAAACATGCAAAGCGAGAGGGCATTTCTGGAGCTCCAAAATTTTCTTTTTTTACGCCTATCTTGTCTAGATCGACTGGATAAGTATTTTATTTACGTGCAGAGAAATCCTTTTGACGATACTGAACGTAATAGTAAATTGATTAGTCCAATCTTTAGGCAGAATAGCGGAAATAAAATTCAAGTAAGTTATGCTTTTATTTTGTTCGTAGCGATTATTTTAAACATGAATCAATATTAGGAAATAAGGTTAGAATTTACCTTACTAATTTGATTTTACTGTTAATAGATTTTATTCGATTATTATGTTGATGGAATCCCGCATGGTCAAATTTCAGTAAGTTATAAGTTGCGTCGAGATTCTACCCGAGATCATATCATCGAATCCAGATCGATTGATGAACCTACTAGACAATTCCAAACAATGTGGATAGAAGTAGAAGATAATTTACATGAAGATTTTCAGGTAAGGTAAAAAACTGACTGAACGATAGGATGGCTGTAATTGATTTATGGGCGAAGTAATCGCTTGCTTATCACTTCAATAACGCTATATACTAATATTTTTATTGTAATCAGGCTATTAGCTAGCAGCTGCTACTATATTTTTTTGTATTCCTAAACTTGAGCATTCTAAGTAAATGTAGCAGCAGCTAAAAATAGTATTGTATGCATAGTAATTTATTTATATTACTATCTAAGGATAGTAATTTCTACTACAACATCATGATAGCAAAATACCGTTTATAAAGGATCCAGATCAGGAAGTAATTTTTTCGGTAAAATCAATCACTTACTAACTTTATATCGACGTATTTGAATCCTAGTTTGAAATTACGCTAAGGAGTATGGCAAAGAAATCCATCCCAACATCTTTTGTATATGCTATTGACGATCTTAGGGTCAACAACGTTGAAGGTAACTTCTAATTTTTGTCTACAGTAATTTTATTGAAGTATTCTGTAAGCAAGCCTATGTAAGCCGCATTTTAACTACTATAACCTTTGCTTAGTGATTTCCAATGGAGCGCAAAAGATGCCAAAGGCGTCACTTGTACTTATAACAATTGTGACCTGCATTTCCAATTTCTACAGTTAAGTGGACTTACAGTACAATTTAGATCTGACATGAACCAAACTAGTTACAGTGAAGACAAGAATTAAAAAGACAAAATTCTTTCTTCTTTACATTACTGCGATATATACCAATCACGAAATTTCAAATTTTAGAAAAATAAGGGCTTTATTGAATCTTATACAAAGACTAACTACACACTGCTATACTCTAGCCGAATACTACTACTAAAGATTTCTAGAACGAACTAACAGAATAATCTAAAGTTGCATGCTTTTATACTTTCTGTAGCATTCGCAGCTACAATCCGCATGGCAACCTTTTACTTTATTTTACACATAGTTAAATTATTCTTAGTAAGACTATTCTACTGCGGACCATCATTAATCCAATACGGATACGACTACAGTACTTATGTAGACATTATTCACACCAGCCAAAGTACAATGACTTAACCATATCCTAATATATGATTTACAGTTCTATTTTTACCTATAGCCTTATTAGTAACTCAACACCTTACTGTATATAATCATCTGTACTCTAGCATAGAGTCTCTACCACTACAATCTATAGTTATAGCTACCAAATATCTCTTAGGATAAATGTCTACCGTACATTATACTACACATGGCTAACAGTCTACAATCACAATACTAGTTACATTACAATTACTTAATCAATGGCTTCACTAGTTCTAAATGAATAACTTAATATTAACAGAACTACAGTATAATGCAATTCTTTAAGTATACTTTATTGCATTTTATTACGAAGCATTACTTTGAGCAATTAAAGGATGGAAAGGATTTGCCATAAATCCACTGACTATAAGCCTATAAAAGATTCTTTCTAGACGTGATGCACCCTTTCAAAAGTAGCAATTCTAACTCAAGAATACTCTACTCTTATATTTATCGCTATCAACAGTTAAAAGAT